GGGGGAGTGGGGAGGGGGGGAGAGGGGAGAGAGGAGGGGAGAGGGGGAGAGGAGGTGGGAGAGGGGAGGAGGTGGGAGAGGGGGGAGAGGAGGGGTGAGAGGGGAGAGTAGGGTGAGAGGGGAGGTGGGAGAGGGGGGAGGAGGTGAGAGGGAGAGGTGGAGGTAGTGAGAGGGAGGGGAGAGAGGTGAGATGAGGGGGAGAGGAGGTGAGAGGGGGAGAGGAGGGGAGAGGGGGGAGAGGAGGTGAGAGGGGGAGAGGAGGTGGGGAGGGGAGGGGGGGGAGAGAGGTGAGAGGGGGGGAGAGGAGGGGAGAGGGGGGGAGGAGGTGAGAGGGGGGGGAGAGGGGAATGCTAAAGGAGGAGGGAGGAAGAGGTGTAAAGGAGGAGGAAGAGGTGTTAAAAAGGTGGAGGAAGAGGGTTAAAAGGAGGAGGAAGAGGTGTTAAAAGGAGGAGGAAGAGGTGTTAAAAGGAGGAGGAAGAGGTGTTAAAAGGAGGAGAAGAGGTGTTAAAAGGAGGAGGAAGAGGTGTTAAAAGGAGGAGGAAGAGGTAAAAAGGAGGAGGAAAGAGGTGTTAAAAGGAGGAGGAAGAGGTGTTAAAAGGAGGAGGGGAGGTGTAAAAGGGAGAGGAAGGGGTGTTAAAAGGAGGGAAGAAAAGGAAGAGGAGGAGTAAATAGAAGACAAACAACAACAACAACAAAACAAGAAGGAAGAGGAAGACGGAGGAAGACCAGTTTATCAAGGTGGAGGGGTGGAGCGACAGGTAAGATGAGGTAGTGGCAGGGCAGGGTGAGGGGTGACGTAGGAGGGAGGGAGGGAGGAGGGGAGGGGGGGAGGGAGGGAGGAGGGAGGAGGAGGAGGAGGGAGGAGGGAGGGGAGGGAGGGAGGGGGGGAGATACGCAACACGAGAAAACATACATACATACCTACATACAAACATACATTCATACATACATACATAAGAACCTCAGGTGTGTGGGAGAGAGGAAGGAGAGGGAGAGGGAGAAGGAGAGGAGGGGGAGGAGATAAACACCTGCCCGACACAGTCATTAAATAAATAAAAAAACTTCATGGGTCGTTCTAAATTATGTCTCCCAACTGGCCATTACCAGCAGAACAATTAACACGACAGACACACACACACACACACACACACGCTCGAGACATTGGTGATCACGTTACTTGGCATTTGTTCTGGCAGTGGTGGCAGGCACCTCAACCAGTGTGGCAGTCCCCCCCTGGCACCTTCCCTGTGTGGCATCCTCGTGTGAAACCCTCCCTATGTGGCACCCTTCCCTTATGTGGCAGCCTTCCCTATGTGGCACCTTCCTATGTGGCAGCCTCCCTATGTGGCAGCCTTCCTATGTGCACCCTTCCTATGTGGCACCCTTCCTATGTGGCAGCCTTCCCTATGTGGGCACCCTTCCTATGTGGCAGCCTTCCATGTGGCAGCCTTCCCTATGTGGCACCTTCCTATGTGGGCAGCCTTCCTATGTGGCAGCCTTCCTATGGCACCCTTCCTATGACACCTCTGGCTGTGTGGCACTCTGACGCAAGGATAAGTCTTCAACAGCTGTCACGCCCTGTAAGGAATCAATGTTGCTTGAGATTATGCTCGACAACCCATCACCTTCCTGATGCAAATGGCCAGTGAATTAGGTGTGTGTGTGTGTGTGTGTGTGTGTGTGTGTGTGTGTGTGTGTGTGTGTGTGTGTGTGTGTGTGTGTGTGTGTGTGTGTGTGTGTGTCCTCCCTACGTGTTTATGTTTATTTTCCAGCAGCCATCAACACCATAACGACCCCAACCACGCTAATAAACCCTAACCTACCCTTAAGTCTACCCCTTACCTAACCCCACCCTAACCCTCGCCTAACCTATCCCAGCCCTCTCATGTATCATCTCTCAGTGTCTTTCCCTCCTCTCTTTCTTCCCCTTCACCTCCCTCTTTCCGCTACCTTCTTATATGTTTTCTTTCCCCATCTCATTTCCCTCCTCCCAGAATCACTGCTCCTTGGCAGCAAGGTTTGGGCTGATCCATCGATCGAGCAGAGACAGCGAGAGACAGAAACAGTCAGAGGCGGAGAGAATAAGATGGGAGAGAGAGAGAGAGAGAGAGAGAGAGAGAGAGAGAGAGAGAGAGAGAGAGAGAGAGAGAGAGAGAGAGAGAGAGAGACGTCATCTCACGGGTACAGATGAACCGACTTAGGTAAAGGTAAGGTCAGGTCAGGTCAGGTAATGTAAGGTCAGGTCAGGTCAGGTAATGTAAGGGTCAGGTCAGGTCAGGTAATGTAAGGTTAGGTCAGGTCAGGTAAGGTCAACAGGTGAATTTAAGTTAGGATAAAATCAAATTAAAATAAAATCTATTTATATAACTGTAATCGCTTTCAGCCCCCACTCGTAAAGGAACAAGTGGCACTCAACAAGGCTTGGTTTATCCTCCTAGAATACCAAGTTGAGGTTGAGTTATAGTTAATGTATATATAACAAACCAGGGCACAGGGAGGGAGGGAGGGAGAAGATGAAAGGGGAGAGAGGATAGAGGTAGAGAAGAAGAGGATAGGAAGAGGGAGAGAGGATGAAGGTAGGAGGGGAGGAGAGAGGATAGAGAGGAAACAAGAATGTCATAAGACGGTGGAAGATAGAATAAACAGCGAGGAGAAAGAATCAGTTTGGATTTCATCACCATTTAGACTTAAATCCTTGTCCCGTAGCTACCACAGTTAGCTACCTCTCCCCTACCCTTCTCCTCCCCTTACATACTACCTTCCCTACCTCCTCCTTCAAGAGAAAACAATTATTGACCTTTTCCGAGATTCATAACATTTGGTGCAGGGTCTTGAAGTGAGTCAGTCGTGTGTGTGTGTGTGTGCGTGTGTTAGTGTGTGTGTGTGTGTGTGTGTGTGTGTGTAACAAGACGGACAAACAGCTGTCGTAGGTTATAGAGAGATCCCAGTTAAGATACATACACAGTTCACAGTTCACAGTCTCGGGAAGGAAAAAACAACTTACGATCTTCTGGGAATCGGTGTCATATCTGTAAGAGAGTTTCCATGTGCAGTTATATACGTTCTCAGTGCCCCAGTTTCGAGGAACGACCATAAGACCATCCAAGAATCCGTTTATGTCGTAACTTTCAACTTTAAAACAAAAATGTCCAAATGAAACACTTTCAGGACCAACTTACGATAAGAGAAGGAGTTAAATTTACGAATATCTGAGAATTGAGGCGCTGTCCTTCCCCTGCTGCCACACACACACACACACACACCTAGGTACACTCTCCTCACTCAAGATTTCACGATGACAAGAGGAACCAAGAAAGATTTAACACTGAAACCCTATCTTAACTAGATACCTTCACTTAACATCAGTTAGGAGACAAGATTAACACTGAGACTCTACCTTAACTAGATACGTTCACTTAGCACCAGTTAGGAGACAAAATTAACACTGAGACTCTACCTTAACTAGATACCTTCACTTAGCACCAGTTAGGAGACAAAATTAACACTGAAACTCTACCTTAACTAGATACGTTCACTTAGCACCAGTTAGAAGACAAAATTAACACTGAGAATCTACCTTAACTAGATACCTTCACTTAGCACTAGTTAGGAGACAAAATTAACACTGAGACTCTACCTTAACTAGATACGTTCACTTAGCACCAGTTAGGAGACAAAATTAACACTGAGACTCTACCTTAACTAGATACGTTCACTTAGCACCAGTTAGGAGACAAAATTAACACTGAGACTCTACCTTAACTAGATACCTTCACTTAGCACCAGTTAGGAGACAAAATTAACACTGAGACTCTACCTTAACTAGACACTTGACTTAGCACCAGTTAGGAGACAAAATTAACACTGAGACTCTACCTTAACTAGATACCTTCACTTAGCACCAGTTAGGAGACAAAATTAACACTGAGACTCTACCTTAACTAGACACCTTCACTTAGCACCACTTAGGAGACAAAATTAACACTGAGACTCTACCTTAACTAGATACCTTCACTTAGCAGCAGTTAGGAGACAAAATTAACACTGAGACTCTACCTTAACTAGATACCTTCACAATAACTCATGGGATAAAAGAAACCATTATTACATTAACTCATGATGTTAGGGTCAGCCAATTAAGTGACAAATTCGACTGCAGAATATAAGAGACTGGGGGGTGGGGGAAGGGGGGAGGAGAAGGGATGGGTGAAAGGGAGGGGAGGAGAAGGGATAGGGAAAGAGGTAGGGGAGGAAGAAGAGAGAGGGGAAGGGAGGAAGGGGTGCCAGTACCACTAGACTAGAGGGTCAGAAGCGAGGGACAAAAAGTGATGGATCGCCCCAGCCAACACTTGACACTAATAATAATAGTCTACCATCACTTACTGTCGCTTTCTTTAAATACGAACAGGGAGGAGCAGCACCGCCCTGTGTGTGGGTGTGTGAGCTCAGGGTTCCCCCGTGTATGTCTGTATATTTATACGTTCAGTCACCACGTGTCTGTATATAAATATATGTATATAAACGTTCACAGTTCCCGCCTCTCTCTCTCTGTGTGTGTGTGTGTGTGTGTGTGTATATAAACAGTCAGTCAGTCTTGCACAAACAAGTACACACGCATTAACAACCCACAAACAGACAGACAAACGAGGTCGTGTCGAGGTAAAACTAATCATAATAAAAACAATTATACCAAACAGGAATAAATTTTGGAATTTTTGGGAACTTTAGAATCTTTGACATGATTCCAAAAAATTCCTGACATGATTCCAATAAGTTTCTGACATGATCATATCAAGTTCCTGACATGATTCAAACAAGTTCAGGACATGATTCTAACAAGCTGCTCACACAATTCTCTAACAAGTTGAAGACACGATTCTAACAAGCTTAAGGATACGACTTCTCACAGCATTTTCAGGACACACGATTCTTTTTAACAAGCTGAGGAAGACCAAAGTGATTAACCTGACCTGACCTGACCTGACCTGACCTGACCTTACCATCCAGATGTTGATTCTCCTCCTCTTCCTCCTCGGCAACGTCACTCTCATCACTGTTGTCATTCTCGATGTAACTCTTCCACCGTATCACAGGTCGGGTGGGGGTAGCGGCGATCTGACCTTCCCTGGCCCTCGTCACCGTAACCTTTGACCTTTCTGACTCCTCTTCGTCTTCCTCTTCGTACTCAGACTCCTGCTGGTCATCGTCATCGTCATCGTCAGTTCTGCTGCTGGTGGTGGTGTCCTTACGGGAGAATAACGAGAGAGGTTCTTCTAGCTGGGCTCCTTCTCTGGGACGACACACCGCTATGCCTGAGTCATGACCCTCTAGGTTACCACTGCTTGGTTCATCGTCATCATCATCATCGTTATCATCATCGTCATCTGAGTCTGAACCATAGCAGGGGGCGATGCAAAGGACGACCTCCTCAGAACAGTCATCATCCTCGTTGCCGGAGTCCCAGTGGTAGGAGGAAGGAAGGGTCAGCATCACTGTCTCTTCCACATCCTCAGAAGCCATCCTCACTCACTTCCCTCACTTCCTTTCTTCCCTCACTTCCTTCCTTCCCTCACTTCCTTCCTTCCCTCACTTCCTTCCTTCCCTCACTTCTAACACCACCACCACAACCACCAAGCTCTCAAGTTGTCCATCTCGTTACCATTTACAAACTTTTCTCCTTCACTACACAGAGTAAAAAAAACTCAATAGGTAATCAAACGTAAATATACACACAGACTCTCTCTCTTGTACAGCACCTAGTGAGAGAGAAGAGGTAGTTACAGCCTCTCTCTGAAGGTACAACACAGTGATTCTCACAACTCAACACTTCCTTAACACAGTTTCACTTCAGTGTTTACCTCACCACGTACTGTACTTGTCTTGTGTTCTTAGATTTTAAAGTTACTAAAAGTTGTCCTTATTTTCTGGTACAAAACACGTTAACCCTTTGTCTACGTTGAGGTGTTGACGCGAGGTATGGGTAGGTTGTGTTTCCCGGGTGTAGAGGTGTCTGGGTGGGTGGGTGTTTGTGTCTGGTGTAGGGGTGGGGCTGTGGTTCACCGCCCGGAGCGATACTGGCGGCGTAAACAGGAGCCTCGGCCTGAATGACACACCCGGCAGCAGGTCCCCGCCACCACCGCTATGATACCCTGGCACGCTTCCTAGTGACACCTCCTCCCGGTGCCCACGTCATAATAACACTCGTTTACGTCACCACCACCACTAGCACCAGCACGGCACACTAGCACCACCACCACCACTAGCACGGCAGACTAGCACTACCACCACCACTAGCACCAGTACGGCACACCACCACCGCTACACTACCACTACAGTCTGGGGCACCTCACAGCCAGGCCGCCAGGGTAAACACACACACACTAACACCAGCAGTACCTTACCTACCGACACGCTGCTTCAATGAAACTTACAGGAGCCAACACCTTTCCAACTGGCTTGGCACGGGTACGCACGCACACATGCACACACACACACGCATAAACACAGACTAACATACATACACAGACAGACAGACAGATACACATACACACATGGTTAGCTAGCGCCTCTACCGGCAGCGATTGGCACTTGGCATGAGATTAACGGAAGGTTGGAAGTGAACTAAACACAAGATCTGTTAGAAGCTGCCCCTCGGCCTCACAGCTCAGGGGTGTCCGCCACATTAAAAGATTCTAAAGCACATATACCGCTTGTATCCACCACCACTGCCTGCCAATACTTAGTCAGGTGGCGCGATACTCCTCCCGCTATGACAACAATACTGTACCTCATAAACCAGCACCACCCTCCCCCCGACCGACCGACCGACAGCTGGAAGAGGAACAGTGTAGGAGGGGCGGCGCCAACACACCTGCCAACACTGCAGGCTGCCCCGGGGCTGACGGAGAGATCACCGGGGATTTGGCAGTAAAGTTTCTACTGAAGGAGGAACACACCGAGCGTCTCACAGGTCATCGCTTTCTAAATCATTCTCGACCGGTGACGTCGGGGTACAGTTGACGTCGGGGTACAGTTGACGTCGGGGTACAGGTAAGATACTTAAGACCACAGCATAAACACCGAGAACAAAATGGCGTCAAAATTACATAGAAATTCGAAATCTTTACACCTGTAACGCCACACCCCCCCCCCCATGTACTGCTGACGTCACAACACTTCAAGACAATCTAAACTGTATCACAAAGATGACAGTCAAGGTGGTTAGGTTAGGTTAGGTCAGTGTTAACCTTAAAGAACGTACCTGAGTAAATAGCAGATTACTTAAACTTGTAATTTACTCGTAACTTAACTTTTACAGGTACACGTGTGACATAAACCTGAGTCCACACCTTTTAAAAGTTTACACCACGTGGTCAGGTTTGCTTATAATAAAAACTTTAAATAGACCCAGCTGGGGGGGGTGTTAAACCTCAGCTGGGGTTAAACCTCAGCTGGGGGGTTAAACCTCAGGTGCGTGGGATTATTTACACACCCTTGAATTATATACGGGTGGGCAGAAGGTTATGTTTGTGTTCCCTTATATACAGTGTCTAACCTGGGCTCAACACGATAGTTTGTTTGTCTCAAGGTCAGTATGTCTGTCTGTCTGTCTGTCTGTCTGGTACCTGCGCGCTCTCTCTCTCTCTAATGAAATACAAGGAGACTCTACAGGTGATCGAGAGAGAGAGAGAGAGAGAGAGAGAATGACCAAACACCTCCAGAAGTAAACAAACAAACCAAACACCTACATAGGTAAACAAACAAACAAACAAACAAACAAACAACCAAACAACCAAACCAAACACAACCAGACCCCTACACCACCACCCATCTTACAACCGTTTACTCGCCAATTGGTATCATTCTCCAGGCGCTGTATTGTTTAGGGGCATTTGGCACACTTAAAACAGCCCTTGGCACTATCTTTAAAGAGGAAGGAGTGATGAATGTATAGAGGAGGGGGTGGACCAGTGTCAAAATAGTGCCAACACACATTTCTTTTTTTCTTTATTTCTTTCTTTGTTTTGTACTGTCGGTGAACATGTTAGTGTGTGTTCTTGTTATGTGTGGGTAGGTTAATTAAGGTTAATTAAGGTAAGGTAAGGTTAATTAAGGTAAGGTAAGGTTAATTAAGGTAAGGTTAATTAAGGTAAGGTAAGGTTAATTAAGGTAAGGTAAAGGTAAGGTTAATTAAGGTAAGGTAAGGTAAAGGGTATGTAATAAATTTTCTCGAGCAATATTTTTTTTTTAAAGGTGTAAACTTTTAAAAGACAATTGATCCATCGTCATCAACCAAAACAATAAAAGATAAACAAATTAGCCCCAAGGTTGACAATAAACCAAACAACCAAAACAAAACAACAAAATAACAGCACTTTTTTTATATTTATCATTAAGGTCAAACAACAGCTGCTGCCGTGAGACTTGGCGACAGGTGGTGAGGAGACAGGGGAGGTGCGACAGGTGGTGAGGTGTAACAGGTGAGGTGCGACAGGTGATGAGGTGAGACAGGTGGTGAGAGGTGACAGGTGGTGAGAGAAAACTGCATTAACAAAAGACGTAACGAAAACCTTTAGCAAGAAGAGCAGTTAGATCAAAGGGGTCGTGTGTGTGTGTGTGTGTGTGTGTGTGGATAATTAACTATACCCGCATGTGTGTTAAAAGCAGGTGTTAGGACAGGTTAATTAGACAGGTGTAAGAGAGGCAGGTGATTAGGACAGGAAATTAATTAAGACAGGTGTAGGTATTATAGGCAGGAAAAATCAAAGAACCATAAGAATAATTAATTAAAACACTTAAAAAATTTACTTGTTACAGCGTCTCTCTCTCTCTCTCTCTCTCTCTCTCTCTCTCTCTCTCTCTCTCTCTCTCTCTCTCTCTCTCTCTCTCTCTCTCTCTCTCTCTCTCTCTCTCTCTCAGTCGTGCAGGTAGATAGCGACTTCAATATATCTCCTAATGGAGTCTGGTAGTTGTCCTGGCGTGGCCGTGATTGGTCGAGGCCGGGTTTGTTTACAAGTGCAAAGTGACCCGCTGATTGGTTGACGGGTCATGGCGCTCCACCAATCACCGTGGTGAGCTACTGATATACGACAGGTAATTAATTATTATTATTATTATTAATCAAGTCCAATTTCTGAGGGAGGGAGGGAGGGAGGGAGGGAGGGAGGGGAGGCTATATTTGTGTTATCTTACCCTTCACGCCACACGCAACAATACCCTCCATCACCTTCCCTCCACCTGCCCCTTCCTTCCCTCCCCTCCCCTCCTCTCTACAGTACTTCCTTTACTTTTGTGTCACCTCTCTTCCTCTCCCCTAGGTAAAGCAGAAGCAGGGTAGTGGATCAGTAGGGAGAAAAACATCCCTTTCAACATCCTGTTCCTGATGTTTCACGACCCACACACACACAGTATGCAAATGAGGTACAGGGGGGAGAGAGAGAGAGAGAGAGAGAGAGAGAGAGAGAGAGAGAGAGAGAGAGAGAGAATTCATTGGATCAATATGAAGATCAAGACAATATTCCAGTGACACCATTAACTAAAAGGTCAAAGGTCACGGGTCACTGAGAGAAGGTCACGGGGTCACTGAGAGAAAAGTTTAAGTGAAATGTGAGTGACGATGACCGTAGGTATATTAAGTAATTACCTCATTTAACTCACACTAATTAAGTCATTACAGGTATATAGTAATTAACTCGTCTTTATATAGTAATTAATTCATTATATTTACACAGTTCTTTACTCATTCAATCGCTCTTGTAATTTACTCATTTACACGGTAATTAACCCCTCAGTAATCAGCTCATTAGGTTTATAGGTGATTAATAACTATTCCAACATTATATTAAGACAATTACAATTTATATGGTTCAATAATTACTCTTAATAACATCATCAGATTATCACTGGTTAAAAAACAATTATTTCCTACTTAAAAACAAAAACAAAATTCTAAAAATACCTGTTAGTCTTTTGTTAATTTAATTTTATTTTTCTTCATTAATTACATCGACAACCAAAACTGTTTACATCACCCCAGAAACAGATATTGACAGAGTTATATATGACCTGAAGATTAGACACCCCGGTTTATTTTTTTCCCCCTCATGGTTCAAAGAGTGTTGCCAAAACAAACTTGTGCTGACACTGGAAAGAGTGAGGAAAAACCATTTACGTCACCTGCACACATTCTCTCTCTACCCCACCCTAAAACACCTGTCAGTTATAACACCTGTCAGTTATAACACCTGTCAGTTATAACACCTGTCAGTTATAACACCTGTCAGTTATATCACCTGTCAGTTATATCACCTGTCAGTTATAACACCTGTCAGTTATAACACCTGTCAGTTATAACACCTGTCAGTTATAACACCTGTCAGCTATAACACCTGTCAGTTATAACACCTGTCAATTATATCACCTGTCAGTTAAAATACCTGTCAGTTATAACACCTGTCAGTTATAACACCTGTCAGTTATAACACCTGTCAATTATATCACCTGTCAGTTAAAATACCTGTCAGTTATAACACCTGTCAGTTATAACACCTGTCAGTTATAACACCTGTCAGTTATAACACCTGTC